CAAAATTAGAAAGATAAGCTCTGGTAAAGTCCAGGAAGAGATGTCTACTGGATGATTCCAAATCATAGAAATACTTAGCATTTACACAAAACTTTTATAATGTTCAGAGCACACCTTGTTGCAATCCTTATAACAATCTGATATGGCACCTATGTTGTAGCTAGAAGTTAAAGCAGAGATGTTCCACTAACTACCACTCTCCATGAGATCATGGTAAGATTTAAACTGAAGTAATATTGATTTACACTTTTCGAGCCTTTGCTTGGGTCAAAACAGAACATACTTCTGATAGAGGCAAAGTTATATGTGTTTCATTCACCTGTGACAACCAAGCTGAGCAATATTTGTTCCCTCAGTTTAGACATGGAACCCAAGTCCCAAGAGTGAGAGAAAAGAGTTTTAATCCTTAGCAAAAATTCAAATTCCTCAATTGAGAGAATAATCTATTCCTGAAGACAGAATTTAAAACACATACACATACACACACAATATTTGGTGAAATACAGTTTCTTTACTCATAATATCCCAGATCTCTAATGCTGAGGGATTTTTAACAGGTCTTACTTTTGGCAGATGACCTCTCTTGTTTGTTCATATGTGTTTTCCAAAATATAAAAGTGAAATAGAGTCCCAAGGGCACTGTACTTGAAAGGTTATGAGAGTTAGAGATTTTAACCATGCCTGCCAAATCAGCAGATGGCTTGTGATTATAATTATATGCATCAATAAAACGAATAATCTTACAAAATTTGAATTTCTACTAAAGTAAGGGATTTAATAAGCAGATGCAACAGAATGCATTTTCTTTAACCCTTTTCACTGAGAATGATGGTTCACATGCAGAGCAGATAAAACAACACTGCGTTCAAGCAAGACCACAAAGTTAAAACATTGTGTACTTTTCCTCTTTAGCATGAGTGCTGTTTTGTTGAATAATGATTTAGTGTTCCTCTTCACTATTATATATATATATATATAAAACTATTTTGCTTCCTAAAGTATTGAAAACATCATTTATATAAAAGACATGATGATTTGGAGGAAACCTGGTAAATGTGATTTTTTAAATCACTTGAATGTAATTTTAGAATTTCATCTACCAAGGTTTGCATAATCTGAATAGGTTGTTGCCTGTTTCCAAGGACAGGTTACCAATATTATTATTTCTTTTGGTATGAATGAAGTTAACCTTTCCTCTTTTTTTCTTTCTTTTTTCTTTTTGATCAGACATATTTGCAACATGCCTATATGACTTAATTTTTTTAATTTTTTGGTATTCCTTTGATATGAACACACAACATAGAAGTTGTAACAAGAAATTGTCATTCATACTTCTAATAGATCCAGGATGTTTAAAAATGATATAGTTAATGACATATCTTATATACAATTGAGGCTGCAATTCTATGGACACATTTTGAGGAGTAAGCCTTATTTAAGCTCAGTTGCTTATTTTTAAGCAAGCATATTTAGGATCAGCATGCAAGAGACCAATTCAACAAATCACATTTTTTCAAAATTGCTGGGCTATTTTTACAAGCATAAAATACATAATTTAGAAAAAGAGCAATTTTGTTTCTAAATGGATTTATATCTCCGTAGTATAATTAAAGGACAAGAAAATGTCACTGAAGAACAATGTTGTTCTGTACAGGGAAACCATAGTTTCTTTTTGGGTAGAAGTCCTATTTCAGTGCTTGATTGTGTTTAGATACTGTAAGCATCAGTTAGTGGTTACAGATGATGTTTCTGAGAATGCAGACTGATTTACTCAGTGTCATATATATGGGGTTGGAAGGGTGAAGAATTCTTTCATTGCTTTTAACAATGTGAGTATAAAGAGAACCAGAATCACATGTATTCTTCTTAGTGCAGGGATTATTGATCTGATTGTTCACAATGTGCATTTGAAAGAATTAATATTTGCTCTCCCAATTCTGATGATTTCCACATATCGTAAGGTTAGGACATATTCCCTGTTGCATTCTGAGAATGTATGAATGAGCACTAACTCAAAGTAGTTCATGAAAACATAGATTTTTCAGAGCCACCAGCATTTAAGCAAAATAACCCTCTGAATGAAACTATGAGCAATTGTTGCATAGTTCCAGATCTTGTCTTAAAATGATAATAGTATGTATATATATACTATTATCATTTTAAGACAAGATCTGTCAGTGTTTGTAATTCTTCTTTAACGATGAAAGACAAAAAATATACAATGCACCAAGGCATACCTGACCAGGCTGTTTCTCTACTATTTCTGACACTCAGTATTGTCCACTGTGACTAAAGACAGCTCTCCAGACCTCAGGTAGAGATCTTTCCCATCACCTGCCACTGGCCATGCAGTCATTCATTTTAATTGCATATTAGATAGATGCTGGGCCTTGACACTTGTATTTTACCAAAAGAAGGAAGGAAGGAAGGAAAAGAAAAGAAAGTAAAATTATTCACAATCAGTGCTATGTTAACAGTTTGTAAAGTTATTAGAAAATACCATGTGTGCACATATATAGGCCATGAACCTTTGTATATTAAGCTTTATATGTACAATCTGATAGTAAGACAGAGGTTGAGATTTCAACTTGCTGCCATTAACATTAGAAATGTCATGTGTCACTCTCTAATCATGTTGGAAAAAGTTATTGGCCAGGAGTGGGGCATTGCTAGGAAGCCCTTTCAGTTTTGATTTCTGAAATCAAAATGGGGGAACATTCAACATTGTAAGTAGTAGAATCAATAGAGTAATCTGAAAGTTTTAGGACATTTTTTTGCAAGTACACTGCCATCAGCTGGCACGGTTGGTCTATCTTAGCTAAGACAGGGCTTCTTCCTGACACAGAGCTTTCAGAGCACCCTACCCCATCCCAGCTATAAGTTGGTAACTTTATGGCAAATGATAGCCCATGCAGAATCTGTTTACCTGTCTTTTAAGATGCAGGCAAGCTGATACTATGAAATAATTAGACATGTTATCTTCAGGCAAATACTGCAGCCATGTTTCTTATGAAAACATAAATGCACACTCATATTTTTAAACCAATAGATGACTATCATAACAGGATAAGATGTGCACACTTAGTAAGTGCAGTTACCATTAGCTGTGCCTCCATACATGTTGAAAACAATACAGCAATAACCAGTGGATGGTGCTATGGAAGTTTTTAATGAAAGATTTCACCTAAGATATCAGACAGACAAAAGGAAAATGAACCATATAGTTACAATAAACCAGGAAAATACAGATAAGAACTCTGATTGAAAAATCATTTCTTTAGTGAATTTAGTATCACTCACTAGGTACCATGACTCTTCTATAGTAACTTATTTATTCCTGCATTTATTTATTTGATTTAACTTTTTGATAAGAGATAATAGTTGTACTCCAAGTTTTATGGAATTAAACAAATACACATGTTACTGGGATACAAACACCTAAGAACATATGGTGAAAAGATAATTAGCAACTTGAGCTTATTCACATACTTCCCATTCATCTGTCCAAGCAGAAGAAATTGACGGTGTAAAATTGTAGATAAATAAGCGCCTATTGCCCATGCACAGATTACTAATCATACTCTTAACACTGTGAACAATTCAACTTTCTGAGCAATCTACTAATAATATTGTCCAACAGTAGTCAGTCTATGACAAACATCACACTTCTACAAATAATATCCATGTTAAAATCTCTCTGTGCTCCGGATTGCATATCTAGGTCATATTGTTCAGCACCTGTCGTACTGGAAAATAGGATCTGTTGGTACAAGTTACTTTGTTGAGTATGTATGATAGCTGAAAGTACGCACTTCCAAGTAAATCTTTTTAAGGTAAGTTTTTTGTCAGTTGACCTCACTATGGAAAGAAAATATTGATAGAGTAATTTGATTATTCTAACATAGGTTTACACATCACACAAATTTGTTTTCCAAAATGCAATCGCTTCAACATGAGGAAAAGAAAATAATTAAATATAGCAATGGAAATGCAAACTTTCTGGGTTTTTTTTTCTGAAAGGGAAATACATGCTTCTATTATCACTTTTATCAATAGTAATATTGGCATGCATTTCAAGATTCATCTCAATCTATGGTAATCATTACCCAAACTTCTCCTTTTCCCTAATCTTACTTATGTGAAGGGAAAAGTAGCAGAAAATAGTTCAGAATTAGGAGCACTATTTTCTTGCAACCTGCTGTTGTCACAACCCCCATTAAAAAAAAAGAGGTGTCATGACTGGGATTCTTTGAACTAGGAAGGGTTCTTAATTATTACTATCCACATAAAAATAACACAAACACACAGCAAACTAATAAGGTAAGCAGTTATTTTTACTCTACACATATGTATTTTTAAAAACATATGCACAGCAATTGATGCTGATTGTAACCAATGTATCCTGACCCCTTTCTTTTATTTTCAGCAAAAGCAAGTGGACAGATGAGCTGGGAGAGGGAGATACTATGATTTAATACTGTGGCTTCTGTCTGAAAATTCAAGATGATAAAAAGCTTCATTTCTGTACACATGGTTATAAATGCCATGCCATTTATTCAAGTGAATAAGCATCTGGCAAGTAGATTGAAATTTGAAAGTAATACACAGTTCTATCATGTCTCTGCAAAAAAACCAAAATGTTAGTTTTTCACAAATCTAGAAAAGGGTAGTCTCTTGTAAAGTTGACAATATGAAGATTCAGCTCTATTTTTTTATTCCACTTAAGACAAAGAATGTGTTTCACCTCACATTCTACTCATCAGTCACTGCAACATTAAGTTCACAGAGCACCCCATTTTACTTTGGAAATTCAAAACTTTTGTAAAGACACACATAGAGAAGGGCACTGGTTCCAAAGATATGCCCCCCGCCGTTCTGAAGTGGCATGAAAAGCAACCCCTTCATTATGACCTACTTGTCCAAAACAGACTCTCAAGCCTATGGTTAGGCTAAGATTTGCTCGACTTTTTCCCTAGGGCATAATTGTCAGACTGACTTACCGTGTGCCTTTTAGCCTTTGTTCTGCCTCTCGCGCTGACATCAGGGAAGCAGTGATGTAGAATAAAGCAGGGGTGGGCTAGGTTAGTCCAGTGTTTGTGTCGTTGTGTGGTGTGCAGGGACACTCTGTGATACTCTAGTGAGCTGCTAAGCTTTTTTTTTTTTTGTAGGCTTTGTGTCATTTACTTAACGACCAATCTCATTAGCTGCCAGGGTACAATGGGCTGATGCATTTTCTATGTACATACTCTACACAGTGACCCTCAAGGTTGCCGAAGGTCTATTTAATCAGTCAGATGCTGAATATATTTGCAGTAAATCACTAAAAAAAAAATGAGACCACAGAGGTACCTCATGAGGCTTTAATGTTTCTTGGAAGCTTGTTGAAGGGGAAAGACAGCAGAATTTAAAGATAAACAATGAGGAGGAATGGGACAGTCAGAAAGGTTTGCAGTAATGACCTTTAATAGGCGCAGTAACTTTCGAAAGCCTGCATGTTCCTGCAGCTGATTGTTATTTCCTCCATCCAGTTCACGCTTCAGTGTAATCACATTGTCATATTGAAATCCCTTTAAATAACAGCAAAACAACAAGATGAGCAGTCTTTCACAGGTTGGCAAAGGTGTAATTTTTCCCCCTCTCTCTTTCCAGGCAACCTCAGAGTTGGCATCCATGTATTTCTGCCCTCTCTTCAGTTACAAGGCATAAACCCTTTTAACTCCTATGAAAAATGAAATGCTGAAAAGCTCTCTGAATGACGACAGCTGTCCATAAGTATCAGGGAGAGTTCTATTGTCCAACTTGTCCCTGGATAAAATGAATACTTTACAGCAGAGGCTGTTCAGCTTGGCTAAAGAGTATGGGGAGAAGGGGAGGAGGTCACTGGAGATTTCGCACACTAATTTAATCTGGGAAAAGGACAGGCACTGCATCTCACTTGAACAGACTGGCGGCAATCTGGGCTCTCACAGAACTATCTCCTTTTGCCTGTGCTCTATTTATTCCTTATCTCTGTTTACCAACCGCTAGGTCCCTTTCATTCACACCACGAGGCCGTTCTCCTACTATCAGTCAGCAGCTGACACTGTGGAAGAGCCTCAAAGGCAAAAAAAGGGATCAAAACTAAACCAAAGCTGTATAAACAATGCAGCAGTAGAAGTAAATGCATAAATCCTAATTCTTAACCCAACCCACAGGGTGCGAACAGAACCTTTATAGTAAATCCAACAAACCCACCACAGTGAGCTATGGGCTACAGAGGAAACAAGGAAAGCCAAATATCATTCATGAAATCATCATCTCAGGCAGAAACTCTCACAAATGCACATATTTTATATGCTCAACATGGCATGCATTATGAACTCTTTGGTTTCTAAACTTTATAACTCAGCGTATTCATCAGAAAGTTGGGAGGACAGCCACATTTTTCTCACCTAAGCATAGTTTAAAAAAAATTAATTAGAGTAAATAAACAATTTAGGGTGTCTCAAAGTTTATGTAACTTTTCACTCACTGCTGGACTTGAAACATAGATCTAAGAGAAAATGAGAAGACAGACAGACACATTTTAAGCTTTAAAACTGATTTCTGTTCTCTTCTCTTCCATTCCTTTTCTCTTCTCTTGCCTTGAGTTCCTACTTGAATCTGTAACTTTCACTAAGGTATCTGCAATATGTAGGTTACACTAAGGTATCAGTCAAGTGGCCACTGAATTATTATGAAGTTTCACATATGATTTCTTTGGAAGTTAAGAGTGCATGAGATGAGGAAGCTAACAGGAAACATCCCTGTCCCACTCTTTTGAGCACAATAAAAACGAGGAAGTGTATGTCTTTGGTAGCTTCCAACTTTTGGGTGACTTTTAACTCTGGAATCTGGAATGCGTATACAGTATTATGTTTCATTCTGAATAGCAGAAAAAAATATACTTCACTTTAAATTCTTCACAGCAGTATTCATATTGCTAACATCTCAAATTGCCCCTTCAAATGACTGTTTTAGAGCATAACACTGTCAAAGTTCTACAAGAAAAAGTCTGAAGTTACACAGATTTTTAAAGTTAAATTGCACAAAGTTATACAAAAAGAAAATGGAGCATCGGCCTTAAGCCACAGGCTGTTGTATTGAGAAAGGACACTATAATCCTCTAAGTACAACATTTTTTTTTTAAAAAAATAGTGGTTTATATTATTCAAAACATTTTAAATATATTATCAGGACTGTTGGAAAAATAGTGACAAAAATATTGCTCATTATCAAAGATGATCTATTATGACAAATTTCAGTTTTGATTTCCACCTATATGCATTATGAGCAATGAAGTCTTTACTATTTGGATCCTTTTTTTCCAAATGAATTAATGAATTAAATTTATCCTTTCACCAGCTGCTAGGCAGCAGATGGAACCATTTCTGAAGCCTTGTTGAATTCAATCCATAAAACTCATTTCCTAGGATTAGTAGTCCAAAGTTTCTGTTAATGTTTATATACCGCTTGGGATTTTAAATTTTGTGATGCTAAACTTTCCATTTAATAATCTACCCCATACACACCCTGGTTCATTAGTTTCATGTCAAACAAACTTGAATGAAATGCCGTATTTCTTCCAAACAAGGTGGGTCACATAAGGACAAGATTTCTTTTCAAGAGCAGTCAGGTAAACCAAAGTGGGGGAGTTGTTGTTTACATTATCCTAGTACCATAGAAACCACTTATCATATGGTCAAACATTAATTCAAGTTGGAAGATGTGCAGGTTTCAGTCAACATTAGTTTCCAAAAGTACTTAGAAAAGCATATTTTAGAACTCATATAGTGTAGGTAGAGATAGAGCCCAAAATTGTCTTACAATCACAAACAAATCCAAACATTCACAGCATCACTAGTGTCAGAACTTCTTAAACTATGGTAAGTTAATATACTCTGTATTCTAGCAGTGTCATGAACTTTAGGGGAGCTGTGTGTGTTCAGCTTGTGCCTTTTACCTTGCAGCTGCTTAGTATGAGCATTGATACTGTTATTTCATGCCATACCTCTGCAAACTAAAGTAAAACTTCTCACGAAAAAAATATCTGAAGTTGCAGTATTAAATACAAACAGAGAATAAATAGTACGGCAAGTTTACTGGGTTCAAATCATTTCAAAAACATCATGAAAAGGGCACCATGGACAGCTCCATGCATGTTCTTAACTTCTTATATCTAGGATTCCTCACAGACTTCTTACATCAGCAAACAAGCAAGTGGTGCAAAGTTTAGCAATAACAGAAGAAAACCAGGATGCCTGAGCTGAAATTGTACAGACAAATCTACTTGAAAGGCCTTCTGAATAGTTATTCTGTAAAAAAGAACTTTAAAAAGTACTCAGCTGTACAAGAACTATATGCACTAATTTGGCACAAGAAATCTATATTAATCTAATAATACAGTAAGCCAAGAAGGCCACATAGTAATAATTAACATTCAGTAATTGAATATTTAGGAGGAGGGGAGGGGAAACTGTTAATCTTAGCCTGCAGGCATGAAATTACTAGAAAACAGAATTGATATTGTTGAGGAGGAGGGTCAGAAACTAGGAAGTCTAAATTTAGAAAGTTTCCATTCTAAACCTGTGCTATTTCCTAATATCTCTACAGGCAAAATGAAATTTAAACTCTGCAATAAAGGTTTTCACATAAAAGCTCTAAACATGTTCAATAACTAACCCAAAGCAAACAGAAGAGGGGGAAAGAGAGAAATCAAGAGAGCGAAATAGCTTGGTTTGTTAACAAAGAACTTGCTTTCAAACATGCATCCCCTCTTTGATAGCTATAAGTTTATTTCTTTATAGTCAGGATTAGGGATGGAGCCTTGTGCTCTAATTATCTGTTAGATGAAACACACACACACACATATGCACAAGCCTTGCAACTGAGAGCCCTGTTATTTACATATGTGGGAAGCCAAACATCTAAGTGCTTTGTTAAAGACAAAAGAAAGTCAGAGAGACAGGCAGAGAGAGAGAGAGAGAGAGAGAGAGAATTTCTGATCAATCTGATGAGAGTTCTGCCAGTATGTATATTTTAAAAAGAAGCGTAAGAGTTATCTACCTTTCTCCCTTCTTTTCTATGATTGCTATTTAACTTTCAGAAGATTTCACTAACTTCCCTGAGCAACTTACACTGATAGCTACCGTACTCCTTTTTATCCTGAAAAAAAAAATCAATTCAACATGCCCATATTTATATTTTCAAGATCATGTTAGCCTAGACGGAGATACTTTAAAAATCATGTTGCATTAAAAATTGTGCTTTCCATTCACTCTTTTAATGTTGCAGTTTCCACGTCCTGAGAACCTTTGTTTGTTTGTTTTTCAGGTGCATCCAAAATTATGGCATCACCCTGCACTGTCTCGTTACTGACATTTATATTACAGCAGCACTTTCTTAAGTTTATACAGAGGAGGGGGAGAGAAAAAGTGCTCGGGTGATTATTTCTTCGTATTAAACACACATACACACACACACAACCTGCAAATTGCACAGTTCTAAAATGTATATGAACAAAAGCTTTACTGAAGCAATGTAAATGCAATTATGCTATGACATACTATTCAAAAAGCATTCTCAAAGCATAGATACATACATATATCTTTCTTAAAAAATCTGAGGCCCCAATAGAATTTCATACTATTCCTATCCAAGCACATCACTGAAAAATCATTATCATCAATGTAATTTTAAAAGCACATCAAACCACACACTTATAAATTAAAGAAAAAAAAAACATTTTCTGATAAAAATATTGAGCCTTCTATACTAACATTTGGAACTCAGATTTCTCACTTTTCCTCAGAGCATGCTGAACCATGAAAGAGAGTACTTAACAGCAGAAGCTACTTTAAACATCAAAGTGTTCTGAGCACTGTGAGGGAAAAAGTTGCTTTAAAAAAAACTTACTTTCTTTTGGTTGCCCCAACTTATATGTTTCTCGTCCCTTGTGTGCTGAACTGTGCACTAAAGCTGTGCCTTTGAAAGGTAGTTCCCATGATATGACATCTAGTGCCTTTGACTGCCTAGAGATAAGCACCTGCGTTTGTGTCCCCTCTTTACGTCACACCTCCCTATTCAGACCTTCTCAATATGATTCACATTTGCACATCAACAGCCTCATGCGCATACACAGATTTTTTTTCGGCTCTGGGCCCAAAACTTTCACTTTAATTTTCATCACATGATTGCTGTGGCATATGTCCTTCCAAACCTCCCATATATCAGTCATCATGC